GGATTTTAAAATCGACACAAAGCGACAAAGTGGAGCCGAAATGCCAATTGAAAAACAGACATGACGAACCTTTATCAAACATGAGCCGAACTTTAGTTTTCATTGTTTTTTTCTTGAATTAAAAAGCTGCCTTAGAAATGTTGATAAAAATAGAGAAAAATAATGAATCGTCAATACATAATCTAAACTCAAAGAACAACAGGACTCGTGGAGAGACAAAATAAAATAAACTTTAAAAAATAAAAACAGAACAAAATATACGACATAAAAAGAACGTAATTGGACCTCACTTGAGGTTCATACAAAAATATAACAGGAAAAAGTCCAGAAAGACATTATCAATCCACAAAAACTTTAAAAGATAATCATTAAATGCACCACGCTTTGAAATTTTAAAAGTAAAAAAAAAATAACATAATCTGTTTACGGGGCACTATGGGAGGTAAAGATTACGCTTATCCTTTTGAAGCGCGTGGTCCACTCTCCGTTTTCTGTGAGTGTTCACAGAATGTTTTTTCTTTTTTTTTAAAGGTGACTTCTTTTTTTCTCTGTGATGGCGCTGTGTTATATTTTGTCATTTTGTTAACTCTGATAAATTTTGTATAAGTTTTCAGTGGCGCATTTCTCAGAATTAGATACTAAGGTAAATGCTAAGAATGAAACTAACAGCGATGAGCGTCTAATGTCTTTAATTTTAAGTTCCTGAAGACATATGTTCTGTAGTTTTCAGCATTCTTGGTTTAAATAACAAAAAACTATCATGATTACATATGAATATAAAAATAAAATAAAGAAAAGAATAATAACTCCATTCTTTAACAGTCTTATCAATTCATTTTTCTAGATATGAAAGGAGCATATTCAAAAAAAAAAATCCAAATTAAAATGGGTTCCTCAAAAACTACATCTGTTCCGTACGTAAATCGTCCAGTTTTGTAGTTTGGGCTCGTGTTACGCTTCAGCTGTGTTAATGGTGGTTGGCAAGAGAAGGCGACTTTTCTTTAAATGACATCTGATGTTCCCGACCAACTATTCAACCATCATTAGACTGCTTTCAATATGAAGATAACAAGCTACTGTCCAGACAATGTAATGTTAGGTACTCTCGGCTGGGTTTCGTTAGTGTGGTGAGAATAAATTAAAGTTTTAAATGTATTGGACTATCATTAGATGCTTGTTTAAAAACGCTAATAATTTTTAACAAAATATTGGGAATTCAAGTGTTTTCAACTAAAATCGTATTTTATTCTGTAAAAAAAAATCTGTTTGCTGAATAAAGCTGTCGTTCGCGTGTAATGCGAGATAACTCTGATAGAGAACAAAGCTAGGGATGTAGGAGTTACTGTCCTTTACATGTACAGAACTTCTCTATTTCTAATTTGAAGTTAATTAGTTAAACTCCATTTGTATTTTTGTAAACATGTAGACAAGTAAATCCAAGAAGTGTTTTTCTTCCTGTAAATCTGTAAGCAAATAATTTCCAGCTGTAAACTTGTAACCAAACTTTTAACTTATATAATAACATATAATAATAATATACAACATTTATGTAGCGCATATAATTTGTAAAATTACTCTAAAGCGCTTTACATCATACGGATAATAGTATTAGTTGTTACTGTGAACTAAAAAAGGCTTACAATCATCTTTATACATTAAGCAAGCAGATTATCATCGCAATGTGTACATAAATGAATAAATAAAGGGTGGTATGTACATGACGTCTGTACAAAGAGCCTACAGCCTATATTCATGTTAATCTGTAAACAATCTCTGTTTGTATTTCTGCTTCATGTAAACATCCTTCACTCATATATATACAAAAAAAATGTATGTTCACATTAATATGCGATACATTTCGCATGCTGTTTTTTTTTTACAGTCAAGGACAGTAGAGTGTTGTGTTTATTTTTGTAGAATAGATGCGATTGTCCGACAGTATGGATACTTTTGACAACGTAAATTATGACATGTGGCGGGAATATGTCTTCATTCGACAGTATCTCTCCCAAATATCTTTTAGTTTGATTTTTATTTCAGATGCCAACATTTAACACCAATTTGTAGGCGGAAAATCGATACCTCAGCTACAAATTGTCCTGATTATTTTCAGACCTTGTTTAGATTTCAGACACAAGTTGCCTCCGACACTCAGAGTTAAACAAGATTTCAAGATTCAAGATTTTTTTTATTACGCTCTGACACACAAAGTGTGTAACAAGAGGTCAAACAAAATAACATCAATCAAAATAAAACATGACAGAGAGAGTAGATTACACATGGACAGATTAAGCATTATTTCATAGACAGATTCAGCATTATTTCATAGACAGATTCAGCAATATTTCATAGATAGATTCAGCA